TGAGTCATACTGGGACTTGAGTAGCTCACTCATTTCCTTGCTGTCATCTGTGTAGGACCCATCTTGTTTAAGTACGGGCCCAATACTGGATGTTGTTCTCGACTTTGATTTGGCATAAGAAAAGAAATACTTTGGGTTTCTTTCGATATCATTTATGGAGTCCTGACCTCGATTATGTTGTGATCTGAATATATTGTTTTTGATATGGTGACATTTCGTATCAGATCATCATTGTTAGTGAAGATGAGGTCTAGTGTATTCTCCAGTCTAGTAGGCTCTATTATTTGCTAGCCGGGTCACCATATGGAGAAGACCCGGGCCGGAAGTACCGGCAAACCTCTAATGAATGAATGAATCTATTATTTGCTGGTTTAAGTTGAATTTTGTGCAGACATTTAAAAGTTCGTGTAAGTATGAGTTCTCGTCAGAGCTGCCTCCTTGTGTTATCATTATGTGGTAGATGCTGGGAAATACTAAGAATATCCTAAGGGATTTAAAAAAAACTACAATTGCAATTTGTGGGTGTCCATTATTCTATGAGAGCTAAATAAGGGTAATTGAGGATGGGAGGGGTCATGGGGAGAGGAAACACGTAGGTGAAGTTCATAAATAAAACATAGTGGAGGGAGTGAAGCCACATTGTGTTAGGGTCGCATCCCATCACTTGAGTTTCAGTCCTGAAGCATATCACGTACTGGGGAAGTACTGTGTCACCGGCATCTTCAGTCTTGAAGTATATCACGCACTGGGGAAGTACTGTGTCACCGGTACCTTCAGTCTTGAAGCATATCACGCACTGGGGAAGTACTGTGTCACCGGTACCTTCAGTCTTGAAGCATATCACGCACTGGGGAAGTACTGTGTCACCGGTACCTTCAGTCTTGAAGCATATCACGCACTGAAGAAGTACTGTGTCACCGGTACATAATGCAATCGTCCAGGCACTTGCGTTTCCTTATACGTATGCTGATAACTAATTGCAACTGCCAGGTGCAAATTGATATTTGAAAACACGATACAAAAAGGTCATACAGTCATATTTTAGTGCCCGCTTTCCGTTCTTAATATAATAAACAATAAAAACCTTGTATGTGCTGGATTACAGTGACTTCATTTACTTGTTTTTCTAAGATTTTGGGGGTTTAAATGCAAGAATTTCAAAATTATGTAAACTGTATATGAATACATGAATTCAAAAGCACATTATCATTATACTAATGCGGAGATATTAAATGTGGTGTATGCAGTAACAAAAACATTCTTAACGTAAATTCATTATATTTATGTATAACAAAAATAAATTTCCAGTCTTGCAAACATATTTACATCATAGTTTTCAGACGTTTTCTGTGGGTTTCAGTATGGTTCTCTGGCACCAGTGTCTAGCAGTAGTCGAACATCAAACTGATGGTCAGGTTTCTGACTTCTCTTCTTCATAATGGCTGTCTGGGTGACATCGTTCATCGTGGGGATCTATTTTACAAAACTAAGTTCAGGTTTGAATTCATCATCCCCAAATTAGTTAGAAACTGTTTTGAATGTGAACTGAAACCAATTTGATGGAAATGATTTAACGTCTGATATGAAGATAGATATTTCATCAGTCATCTTGAATACCTCAGACATGATATCCGCTGGGAATGATATACTGACCCGGCTAGTTAGACGCTCATTAAGTGTCCTTGCACCATGAAAACAATTTGTCGGGACCCAGAGGCTTATTTTTCTTTAATTTGTGTACCTGTTTGATAACTACGTCCCTAGTGACTGTGATATTACTCTGTTTTCTTCAGGCCTTTTATAATTATTAATTACCATGAGTCTTATGTGAAGACCGACAGGAAATAACTGTTGAAAGAGAGCACGTTTCCTGTTCATTATCAGTAAGTTGATAATGAGCATTATCGGTAAGCTTGGTTGGTAGCAGCCTCACCTACCACACAGAGAGTCCGGGGAGCGATTTCTGGCACGAGTGGAAACGTTGGACATGTTTCCTTACACTTGCCCGTATTCACCTTACAGTAAGTACGTGGGTGTAAGGTAACTGTTGTGGGTAGCATCCGGGGGGGATTAAAGATCATAGTGGAGAGAAGACAGGCAGTCCTCATGGACTTTATTAGGTTATCCTGGGTTACTAACCCTCCAGGTTAATATTCCTAACAAAATCGTCATCAATAATGTCTTGTAACTAATAATTTCCCGTAATTGATTTATTGGTATGAAAATTATTTAATAAATTATATGTACAATCAAAATAATTACTTCCATTTTGGGTATACAAAGGCAAACAGAAATGATGTGACATAAGAAACAGAAATAAATATATAATCAAGGCAGAAAATTCAAAAACCTACTGTCAGCTTAAGAATCAGTTGAAGAACTTGACTCAATATTCTTTCCTTCCATATCATTGATGATTGTCTCACTTCAGATAAGAATGTTGGAATATTGAGGCAGTGTAGGCTGTGTGTAAGAGGCGGGTTTATACTTTACTTTAGTTAGTTGTCATTATTACTTAAATGGAGTAGGCGAGCGACATGGCCCTTCATAACTTGTTAATTTATTCTTTCAGCTTAGATAACTTGGTCAATAAAACTTGTGGCTAAATCAGATTCAGCAAATATATGCATAAATAAAATTATCTGATAATCATCTAATGTGTCAAGTTCTTTACAGTGGTATATAACGTGTTTCAACACACACCAACAGCAATAAGATCAAATTTGTTCCGATTTTTAACCCGGAGGGTTAGCCACCCAGGATTACCCAAGAAAGTCTGCGTCATCGAGGACTGTCTGTCTGTTTCCATTGGGGTCCTCCAGTATTGTGTCCCAGGATGCGACCCACACCAGTCGACTAACACCCAGGTACCTAATTGCTGGTAGGTGAATAGGTACAGAAGGTTTAAGGAAACATGGCCACTGTTTTCACCCGGCCGGGAATTTAACCACGGACACTGAGTGTGTCTGTGGTTGTAAACATGAGAGTATTTATCTGCTTCTATGTGATGACACTTAGCTGATGGTCCAAGTCGGCTGGAAACGTCGTCCTAAGTTTTATTCTTATATATGCGGGTTATGTATGAGTTGTTCCAGTCACAGTATTAAGCCTTTTTATTTTTTTTATTTAAGTTTTATATCTGCACCAGAAAGCAAATCCCAACAGCTGTTTCCCAGTGAATATATAAACTATATTTTGGTCAATTTTCAGATGAATTCCATATCAACTAGATTATTATTATAATCAAGGGGAAGCGCTAAACCCGTAGGATTATACAGCGCCCAGGGGGGGATGTGGAAGGCATTCAGGCTTAATTCGGGGAACTGGAGCACAGATTCAATTCCCTAAATCAAGAGCCCCTCACCAACATCAAGGAACCTTCCATGAGGGGCATATCAACTAGAGCAATATAATGATTCTTGACGTATAATTAACGATCCCACTGACTGTTCAAGCATTGGTTTTTATTCTTCAGTATTCTTGACCGCTCAACCTTCAGTTTTAAAACTTTATTCGTTATCATTTCTGTCATTAAATGAAGACAATCCTTCACGCATATACCTCACTTTATCTTCATCTAGACAACTATTATCAAAGTAGTATCGTAATAAGCATTTTTCATAACTTCGGTTATTATGCATATCTAGCCGTTGTAACATTCTCAAAGAAGCTTTGAAATCATTTCAGTTTTGGCTCCCAAGGAATATATATTCATTAAAGTGAGCCAAAATATAGACAAAGGGCTGCCTGAATTTTCAAATTTCTTAAATGCTTGATCAGATATGTGAACAACTTTGAGCTTGCTTCCAGATCATCATAAATCGTATATCTATTGAATTTCTTAGAATTTTTAGCTCCTGCTGCAACCCTAGACCCCTCAAGGAAGGCTCCTTGACGCTGGTGAGGGGCTCTTGATCTAGGGAATTGGATCTGTGCTCCAGTTCCCTGAATTAAGCCTGAATGCCTTCCATCCCCCCATAGGCGCTGTATAATCCTACGGGTTTAGTGCTTCCCCCTTGATTATAATAATAATAATGCAACCCTAGAGAATCTGAGAATCGCTCTTTTAATCCACTTTAAACGAAGTCATTGTCAGCACCTTAAAAAAAGTTTTTTTCTTTTAAGCAGAGACCAGAAGTCAGAGTAGCGGTGTTTAGCGTAGCTTCATATCACTGAACGTTCAACTTACTAGAAAGGCGTTCGATTGAGACGTTAAAACATACAGGAACAAATCAAGAAGGATAGCAATAAGGTGATGAAAACATTTGCCCAGGGTAGCAATATAGATTAGCCAAATTAAGATTTATGAAGGATATAAAAAATAACTGATTCACTAATAGTTTAAGACGAGTGAAACTGTGCCAAGTAGTGTCACGGAAGCAACTAGTGCAGATAACATTAAAAACAGATTTGACATACTTAAATGAGAATGGTTGAGCGTGAGTATTAGACCGTCCTAGTTCGCATGGGCTGATAGGCCTGTTGCAGTACTCCTTTGTTCTCTTGTTCTGACATTTCTCAGAATAAGTGAGAGCAGTGGAGGTAAGGGATAGCGAATGACTGAGAGTGCAAAAATGTGTTGGAAAATAAGAGAATGGGAGGGGAAAAGTGGGATAGTTATGTGGGTGCTCGTGGCTTGGTTGGTACTATTCTTACTTCACACACTGGAGGGAGAGCAGGATCGATCCCTGGCAAGGGTGAAACGTTGGGCATATTTTCTATCACTTTCTGTCTCTGTTCGCCTAGCAGTATGTAAGTACCTGGATATTGCCGACTGCCGTGGGTTGCATCTTGGGGGAGAAGGCTACAGGGCCATAATGGAAAATAAGACTGACGATTCCCGATGGCTAACCCTCCGGGTTAAGAATCTGAACAAAATCTTATATTATCTTTGGTAAATGGGTGTGATTATATAAGAGAGCAGATGGCTGGAGGTGTTATCACCACGGGAGAGTGGTGTCTCAGTCACAGCCTCACCTGGGTGGTAGTACTGACAATTCTTCCTCCATACCACAAGACCTTCACACAGCAATTTTGAGGTGCGATGTTTGTTGCACCTGTTGATGAAAATTTGCTTGGTCATGTGCGAGATGATAGGGTGATATCATATAGTGAGTAGAATGTCAGTCAAGTGTTAGTGAGTCACAGATTACCGCCTCTACCTGGACACCAGACCATGGCACGTACTAGGTAGTGGTGACCTCTGGTGCCAAGATGTGGTGGTGGCAGATGGCGCCACAGGAGACGGTGGTACACTGGCCCCATTGCACACGGAGGGCCACATCACATATAAACACACGGGCCGTCGTGGCCCACCTGTCTCACATTGCTTGTGTTTTAAACCTTCACTACGGGTCTCACGCTCTTGCAGAAGATCCTCCAGATCCTCAAGTCTTCAGGAGGACCTCTGCAGCCCCCAGACTCGAGATGTGAGGATCGTTCTGGAGTATTTGAACTAACACCAGGGGCGTCTTGGGCTTTCTGGGAGGCCCTAACCACACAGGGACGCAGTGGGTACCCCACCAGAGAATTACCTCTGTCTCGCTCAGCTTCAACTGATAGTGTGCCCCGAGGTCCCCAGGAGAACATAAGGACTTCTAGATCCTTTTCCAGCAGTCCTGTGTTTCGTCGTTGTGTGTGGGCCTCTCCCGTTGTGTTAGAGACGCAGGAGGCCGCCTCGGCTATACAGTCCGGTCGTCGAAGTTCTCCGCCTTGTCTCGTGAACTATCTTGAGGATAACACTGAACGCTCACCTTCACCAACAGTGCCCACATTACCTGTCAGCGAACCTTTGTCTTGCTTAAGGTTTTGCCCTTCGCGAGAAATGATTCAACCATCCGCCAAGTTGTCAAGAGTGAGCTTCGACATGCAGCAGAGACCGAATTCTGAGGTATCTGTAAAGAGTATTAATTAAGGATGTAGGTGTTGCAATTAATGTGTTGGTTTCTTACCCTTAACGCAGTGCGTTACATCCAGACCTCAGACCAAGTTACAAGTACATCATATATTAAAGTTCTGTCACACACAACACGATACATTATTTACTTTTCATTATATATATAAATAACTGGTCATGGTAATTTGTATAAAACCAGCAGTTTGCCGTCGAAGCTACTAGTGTATGCGCCCCATACCCATCCTGTGGGTGGTAACGCAAGAGCTTATGGATGTACAACAGACTAATTGCCTAACAGGTATAAAAGTTTGTCTTCTTTTTTAGGGCACTTGCTCAGAATATTTTCATTAATAATGTAAGTTATATATCATATAGGTTAATGTACTATCTCCATATTCTTCAGTGTACATTGTTCAGCATGTTTATATGGCTAAATGCCTCTTGAACTCTACATTTAACGTGTCGTTGTCTATGTACATTATATAACAAACATCCAGAGGTACCTGTAACCAAGCCTAAATTGACTTCCACTTTTTGCCAGTTTTTAACATTAAAAATATGTTTATTTACCTTGACAGCATCACAGTGGGTTATAGAGCTACACAAGCTTTTTAATTGTATTTCTGTGACTTTCAGATTCATTACTTAACTCTCCCCTAATAGTCCTAATGTTTGACACACACCAATGTTATATTCGACTTTTTTCACGGAAGCTTCTTTTGCTATTTCATCAGTCATGTAGAATATGTCAGTGTTGTACATCAGAGAGTTGTACATTAAGTCCTTTCTTAATTTTAAATATCTAAGCTTAGCTTATCCAGTGAGCTTGCTGGTAGTTATTATGGGAACCAAGTTCACTCAATATTATATATATGCAGTAGACCGTCGTTTAACACGGAAGTTACGTTCCTGAAAACACTGTTAGACAAAACCGTGTTAAACAAACTGAAGAACTTATGGGAAAAACAGGGTTACGTTCCTGGGAGCCCCCAGAAAGCCAAACAACTTTTTTTTTTAGACCTCCAGATCTTACAAGAATAAAAGGAATATGTAATTGTAGTTTATTGTCGTGATGTAATATGTTGTTTTTACTGCTTAAGACTACAAATACAACAGAAATAATAGTATTTCTTACCTTAAATTGTGGGTGCTGGTGTTTGTGGATGATTGTGAAGAAAGTGGAGAGTTATGCTGTGGCCCTACTGGGCTGAGGTGGATGGTAGAGGTTCTGGTACTGAAGTTGATGGTCGTACTGGAGTGTGCATAAATCAGTCAAATCATAAGTCAAGTCAGTAAGTCAATGAGTCAAGTCAGTAAGTCAATTCAGTAAGTCAGTGAGTCAGCCAAGTCAGTAAGTCAGTCAAGTCAGTCAAGTCATTCAGTAAGTCAGTCAAATCATTCAGTAAATCAGTCCAGTCATTCAGTCAGTCAGTCAAGTTGGGGGGGGTAGGGGTGGCTGATGCTGGCAGGGGATGGCTGTAGCCCATCCCGCCCCACGGGCGACCAGCGCTCAAAAAAATTTCGGATACCACAACCATGTTAAACTAATTTTACGAAGTGTTAAACAAAAATATGCCGCAAGTCTTCAATCATGCTATAACCAAAACGTGCAAGACAAAACCGTGTTAAACGATGGTCTACTGTATAACAGTTCAGTGTGTAAGGTAGAAACCCAAGTGTTGACGTTAATGAAGCCACAGTACTGAAATGTTTATCTTTGAGTGTCCTAATACACTTAGGCATCCTCCTAGAAGAAGGTTTACCTGGAGTTTACCTGAAGAGCATTTTGGGGGTCTTATCAACCAGGCTGTTACTGCTGGCCGCACGCAAGGTGACATGAACCACAGCCCGGGTGGTCAGGTACTGATTTTAGGTGCCTGTCTAGTGCCTTCTTGAAGACAGCCAGGGGTCTATTGGTAATCCCCCTTATGTATGCTGGGAGGCAATTAAACAGTCTTGGGCCCAGGACACTTATTGTATTGTCTCTCAGTGTACTCGTGGCGCCCCTGCTTTTCACCGGGGGAATGTTGCATCTCTTGCCGAGTCTTTTACTTTCATAGGGAGTGATTTTCGTGTGCTGGTACCTAACGTTCTTGTTGAATTTTGTCTCCTTCCACCACACCCTCTCTCCAAGCTTTTCCAAGGTTTCCATGCGATAAATTAAGAACTTTTCTTCTTCTTGTCGGCTTCAAACGTTCAGTGTTGGTGTCTCTTATTAAGAGGAATGTTCGGAGCGTTACTGACTTGCGTAGATGCCAATTTACCAATTTTGTACATGCAAACAGAATAACCGCTACCGTGTTATAACCGATAGCTCGAGAACACCTTCTTGAGTTTGGTAGGATACACAGTTGTATCCGACCTAGAAGAAGGATTCCCATTGTTATGGCAGTGTGTAGGTGGCAACTTTCTGACTTTATTTAAAAGTCGTGAGTTTTTTTTAGAAGCACCTCTTCTGAACTGCTTAATCATCAAATATTAAATTTCTTATAGGTTTCTGCTGCTGTAGGTGCAAATTTTGCTAATTTTCTGGTAGTTTGTTATTATCGGTTTTCAGATCGGCTTCAAACTTTTTCAGCACTAGTGTATTTTACTCTAAAAACTTGATGAAGTAGCGGATACTCTGACAGGTAACTATTATCCAGCAGAGTAGGTTATCACCAGTATTCATTTTGGCTAGCTCAGGAAGAAGATTCAGGATACTATACACAACTTTCAGTAGTCAGGTCTTGGAGGATCCAGCCCGAGCATGGAATCCAAAACTGATACAGTATATAAGGGAACAGGAGAAGATCCAAATGTTCTTAACGAGATTGGTACAGGATATGAGGGGGAGGGGGCATGGACTACGAGGAGAAAATTTAAGGAGCTCAGTAACACGAAGAGAGAAAGCAGGGTGGAGAGAGGGGGGTTACTATATATAAAACACATCTTGAAAAATATGCAAGATGTGTAATACTCAGTAAACAGTTATCTCTACAGTTACTGCCTCTGATACACGTATTATTTATTGAATAAATCCTTTAATTTTTACTGACATCCTTTAAAATACCTTTCTGTATTTCCTGATACATCTGTGGAATCCTCCAATACACATTTTTGCAGATATAATTCCCTCAATAACTAATATTATCTTTTTCCTTCTGGCCATATTGAATGAACAAGTTTTGTTAAGCATGCCACGAAAATTTCCTATTTTTTTCCTGCCCCACACATTAAACTGAATATTCTGTATTTCTGTCTTGAAACACAATTGTAAGGGACTTAAATGTGTCTGTCAGCATATTCAGCTCCATAAAACCAATATGTTGTCGGGTAAGAGAATAAAATTTGATGTTTTCTTGTATCTTGGCTGGGCACTGAGGTCATGCATCACCCCTCGTCTATCTATGTGCATTACGGAAGATAACTTCCTCCCCCCTCCGCCCCCTCCTGTTGGTTTTTACCATGCCGGATTTAGCAGCACTGGGCTGCAGCCAGGCAGTGTCACCCGGGGCAACGCTTTGATGTCAAGGAGTCTGTCAGTGACCCTATCCTATATGTGAAGTGTGTGGAGGGCAAAGTGTGACTAATATATCTCCCTCCCTCTCTCCCTCCCCTCTTCTTTTCCCTTCTCTCTCTCTCTCTCTCTCTCTCTCTCTCTCTCTCTCTCTCTCTCTCTCTCTCTCTCTCTCTCTCTCTCTCTCTCTCTCCACCCTCTCTCCTTCAATATCTCCCCCCCCCGGCCACTCTGCCTTCTAGGAAATGGAGGCTACATGATCTAATTCAAAGATTTAAGATACCGGGTACTAAACAAATTGAAAAATTCTAAGAGAGAACTAAGTTAAGCCACAAGTGATTCAATAACACAAAATGGTGAACTGAAACTCCGGGGCAAGATGTACAATACTAAAGTAGAAACCTTGTTGCACAGTATTAGACCAAAAATATGGAAAACTTTTCCACAGTAATAGAAGATTGAAACAGACTGCCTACTGAAATTTTATGTAGCTACGAAAAGTCCCTAATATCTAGTTGGAAAACAAATTTGGAAATAACCGATCCACCTCATAGAGAAATGTCTGGCGCCTCTGTGAGGCCTCTTAGGTTGATCTTACTGTCGTATTTAATGCTTACTTTTGACTGTCCTATTTAATGCATACTTTTGACTGTCCTATTTAATGCATACTTTTGACTGTCCTATTTAATGCATACTTTTGACTTCTCTGAAACTATAATTTGTTTTAACTGAAAGTAACCTATTTTAACAACTATGATTTCCACTTTGCACTCTAACCTTCACTCCTCTGAGCTCTGCACAATGCACTCAGTTTTCAAAGCAGTGCTGTATAAGTCGCACAGGTTTACCGTTTATACGTATTTTTTTTTAATTTCCCAAGGATTTTCGGCCATGGCTTAATAATACATGTACTTGGTGCGATGACCTTCACATTTTCAGTACTGATGTACCGTACCAAAGGTTCTTCCTCGTATCATATGTAAATGCTCCTATGTCAGTTGTATAGTCCCAAAAGTGTTTTTCTTTATTCCTGTGAGATAACTTTGAAAATTTCCCTTCTCACTGGCTTAAAAATGTCAACACAGGTGTTATCCAACATGGGTTTGGATCGTTGTTTGAATGTAGGTGTTAATTTATTTATTTTAATATAAAATTGTTGGATATTTTTCCCATAGAAGAACTTAAGACTGCCTTTAGTGACTAGTTTCAAACTTTAAGGCAGATGTTGCTAACTAATTATTTGTTTCTATGTAATAACTGAAGAATGCCCTTCCCATTATCTCCTTCAAACTTTGTGTTGGTGGATTTTGATTAAATTAAGGTTCACACTGGTTTTGGGTTGTGTACGTTTTAATTTGCCACTTTAAATAAACAAATTTGTTTCCGCACAATAACTGAAGAATGCCTCTTCTGATTCGGCTTCAGACCGTAGGCACTATTTTGAGACGTGCAGGTCCCAGTTTACCAGTTTTATTGAAATTAGAAAAAATAATTT